GGGGCCCGAGCAGGCGTTGCCCGCTGGATGGAGACAATGCCGCTGAGCAAGGCGTAGCCCACCATGGCTGCCAGTCCTGCCAGCACAGATAAGATCTGGTTCCGGCGCCGGTATGGCTCCTCCTCAGTCTCTGGGCCTGCTGGTGTCTGGCGTGGCGGTGGTACCTCAGCTGAGGGTCAAGGAAGGAAGGTGAGTTAGGGGAACTAGTTCTCAGATCCCTGCCCACTCTCCCCAGGGCTGCCCCTCCCATCTGCCCCTTACCTCCATCCCAGGGGAAGTAGAGACTGAGGATGTGGGTACAATAGGCACAGAGGTTGTGCAGCCCCCGCAGGTGGGTCTGCAGCTTCCCACTGGGCAGCTTTGCCTGCAGCAGCAGGGCCAAGTAGCTAAAGACGAAGGCGTCCAAGGAGGCAGGGCTGGAGCAGAGAGAGAAGGGTGGGATGGAGGAGAAGCACTGAGGCAGAAGGGGTAAAGATGGAGCTGGAGGAAGAGTCAGCCCTGGGAGGTGGGCTCTGGGCAGCAGGCGGCCATCAGGGAAGGACAGGACACACAGTTCTAGACCTGGTATTGGGAGAGATCCCCAGGTGGCGCCAGCCTGGCCCTGAATAGGGCTCTATCCCAGGGCTGCATAAAGGGCACATTCAGTGCCCCACAGCTCTTCAGGCCCCTCCTGTGCCTGGCTGCCCTCCCATCCTACCCTTTTGTACCTTTGAGAAGGCTCTGGCCCCACACACAGCCCCACTGGCAGCAGGACCAGTATCTGTCCCAAGGACCTCCTGTCCAGAGCCTGACCCCACCCCAGCCCCAGCCCCAGCTGCTCCATCTGAACCTGTATCTTCTCCCAAGCCACCCATTACCCTCTTGGAGTCAGACTCACGCATCTCCAAAGAAGAACTTTTGAGAGCCCAGACGCTGAGAGAGCAGGGTCAGACACTCCCGAGCCTCTCGGTACAGCTGTAGGGACGACACAGGTAGGCTTGCAGCTGCGGGAACAGTTCCACCTCCCCACCTAAGCACTCCCATTCCTGGCCAGCATCCTTGGGGCTCATCTCATACAACAGCCCCCGGTCTCAGAGCTACCTCCTTCTCCAGCTCTTCCTCGTCCTCAGGCATGTGCTCCCCACTCAGCAGCTCTAGCCGTTCCATGTACTGCCGCTGCATGCGGCCAGGCAGGAAGAAGTTGAGGGGAAAGGGCATAGCCTCTGCATACCACTTCCGGGTCACTTCCACATAGTTCTTGGTGTCTATCCAGAAAGTATGTACCTGGATTGGGTAGGCAGGAAGAAACAGGCAGGTCTGAGCCAGTGTACCTGTCTGACTCAGGGTGGGCTTCTGACCCCCATGCTGTCCTGAGTCTCTGTGTGGGTCTATGTGTGCCCGACCCCTCCCCTGCTAACCATGGATGCTGGGAGGTCTGGGCACACTCACCAGCACCGGGAGCAACTTCTCCTCCAGGAGAGACATGAAGGCCAGGGTGTCTGCCCCTTGCCGAGCTGACAGATCATAATCAGCATTGTACTTCTGTGGAGGAAATATCCATGGTGTGGACACTGGGGAGCTGCAGGGGCACTTCACCAGGGAGGAAGGAGTCCTGTCTGGTACCCCCCTCACTGGCCTCTGAGTGTAGTGGAGGTAGAGCAAGGAACTTTTCCTACCAAGGCTCCCTTGCCTGGGCCCAGCCAGTAGCCTGTTGCTGTTGGCAAAAAGCCTGGGCCTTGGAGCCTGCTGGCCGTCAAGGTCCAGCGCCCAATGCGGGGAAGGAGGGAAGTCTCGGCCGCAAACTAGGAGCAGCTCCCAGAATTTCCATGGAAAGCTGGAAGGACGCCTGCTGACGGCAGCTTTCTAACAGTAACTTCCCCGACCCAGACACCACAAAGCTAGCACGGCGGAGCTCAGATGCAGGCTGGGACTTGGTCCATGCCTCAGGAACCAGGGAAAGCCATCCTCACACTCCCTGGACCCAGGGAACCCACGCCCAGGGCCCCCCAGCTTGTTCCCTCAGTGCCCAGCTCTTGGCTATTTATTCCACTTCATTCCATGGCCCAGACACCACTACCACATACACATTCCACCCATACCCCCAGGTCTCAGCCTGCCCTACCTTCCCAGGCTCCAGTCCCTGCTCCTCAGCATCCCCCTCCACATCCTGAGTAAACTTTGTCCTCAGATAACCTCTTAAGCATGATCCTTAAATCTCCCTGAGCCTCAGTTTCTCCCGTGTGGAATGGGGGTAAGAATCTTTCTCTCAATGCTCCTGTGTCAGGAAGTAATTTAGAATACTTTGGAAACTGGAAAAGCTCTGTTCACACCTAAGGAATCAGGGCAGTGGCCCTGGCCCTGCCAGGAACTTTGTCTTTTATCTGGATCCTCTCTTTTCAGGCTTCTCAATTAATTCCCCAGGTCCTTAACCTTTGGCAAATTAGAAATGAGGAAGAGCGTCCCACTTCTAACACTGTGTTCCCTCTTGGAACCTGACCATCAATGCTAGAAGAACCCTTGGAAAACATGCTCGCCCAGCCCTCTAGTTTTACAAATAAGGGAGTGCCAGCCCTGACAGGTTATGTGGCCTGCCCAAGATCACATAGTCGATGGCAGAGTAAAGAGCATAGCCTAGGCCTCCCCACTCCTCTAGTAATGCTCTTTCATCTTCTCCAAACTGGCTGTAAGCCTTGTTCATCCTGAGCCCCATATCTAGCCCAACCTAGTCCCTGGTAACAGGGAAGTGGCCCTTAGAAATCTCTCTGCAGTGCCACCATCAGAGGCCAACTGCTGTCTTCTACTCTCCTTCAGCCTGTGCTCCTCTCCCTCCCTGCCTGACAGGCAGAAGGTACTGTGCCTCTGGATATCCCCACAGTGCCCTGAGCTTCATCTCTTGCTGACTGCTTGAATACACCACAGTGACACTGTGTGTGTCTCCACCAGCAGACTATTGCTCCTTGATGCTTTGGGTCACCTCCATCTAGCATGGCATATATCTGGTGCTCAATAAATGTGTATTGTACAGAATTGACTGAACTTGTCTTACTGGCAGCCCCCTCTATCCAAGTCACCTACCTCTTTTCGAAGGTGGGTGATGATCTTGTGTGGAACTGAGATGACCTCTCCATGACTGGTCCGAAGGGCAGGCAGAGTTCCTGATATTGAGAGAGAAGTACACCTACCAACCAGACCCTTAGCTGCCTAGTCATACATAGTTGCAACACATTCCTACCTATCTCCTGCTTCTCCCCTTGTACATACCCTTCCTTACCCCCAAGGGACACTGGGTACCTGAAGGGCTCCGCCAGGGGTTGCTGATCTTGTGTACCTTCAGTGGTGCACCAGTAAATCTGGCATAGGTCTGCAGGGAAGGAAGCAGAAGTCAGAAAGGCAGGGCCATGGCTCCCACAGCAGTATCAAGAAGAGAAATAACATTTATTGAATACCTTATGTGCCATTCCCTATACTTAGTATCTTAGTCTTGAAAAAAAAAAGGGGGAGTCACTACCATTTCTATTTGCAAATGGGCAACACAGGGCTCAGAGAGATTATAGACATGTCCGTGATTACAGGTCAGCCAGGAAAATCCTTTCCTCTTTCTCCTCCCTTGCCATCTACCTGGTGGACATCTATCCTCAGAAGCTTTTCCTAACCAGTATCCCTCTTCTTGGAAGCACTGACCATGCCCTTCTCTTTGGCAGTATCTATGATCTGTTCCTACTTTAACTTATACGTGAATATTTTACTATATTTATTTGCTTACCTATCTGCCTTTCTGTAAACTCAAAGGGAGGGAACATATTTTATTCATCTTTGCATGGCAATATTTAGTATTTGGAAGAAATCTAATAGATGCTCTTTAAAGCAAGGAGTCAATGAATAAATCAAGCAAACGAAGTCTGTCTGATTGCTAAGCTCTTTCTACAAAGCCTGGCTGTGAGTCGTTTGGTCCAACAAACAATAGGCTCAGTAAATGCTGTTAAGTGAGGAGGAAGAGGAAAAGGGGGCTGAGGAGAAGGCAGGAATTCCAAGCTAGAGTGGGTCCCTGAGAGAGTCCTGCCTAGTAAACCTGCGAATGGAGAAAAAACGCCCAAAGAGAAAGGATCTCTGCAAGGTCACATAGCCAGTGGGTGGATGAGCAAGGACTAGAACCCATCACCTCAACTCCCAACCAGGCTACTTTTCATTGCTGCATTAAGCCTAGAAATCTACAGCATAGGGCATTGAGCCCACGTCTTTGACTGCCTCAGTTTCCCCCACTGCGCCCGTGCTGAGTAGCCCGGCAAAGTTTGGATGCCTGGCTAGTTCGGCCCCCTCCCCAGTCATCAGGGCACAACAGAGTGCGCCAGCGCCACCCCTCACCAGCACGGCAAGGCTGTCCAGGTCCACTGACGGCAGCCCCCAACCCCCTGACCAGCAGAACAGCTCCATGGGCGCCGCCATCTTGCCCGCCCTCTGTCCCGGAAACACTTCCTTGCGTGCTCCTGCCCTGCCCTGCACGGACCCGCCCCCCACCACCGCCCCTCCGGTAGTTGCGGTCAGGGGGCCGGGGGAGGTCCCCGGGGAGGCCAGGCTTCTTCTGGTCCGACTGGCAGCTGAACTGCGGGGGACTGGGCCGCGGGCCTCCGGGGAGGGCGGCCGCCGGCCCATCCAGAGGTGGTCCACGTAGCGGGACAGCGCTAGCGGGACAGCGCTGTCCGCCCGGCGCGCTTCGGCGAGTCACGGCGCCTCGGCTGAGTGAAGCCCGGAGCCCCTGAAGGCGCGGCAGGCCCAGGAGAGCGGGGTCTTGTGCGCCTGGGCCAGGTCTGAGGGCTCTTGCCAAACTGCACGTGGCCTGTACTGCTCCGGGGCCCCTTGGGGCTCGTGCCCGAGCGGGGACTGCGGGGGGGTCCCCCGAGCAGCATGTTTTCCACAGCGCGTTATGTTTGGAGCGGGCCCTGCGCCGCCTGTCGCCATGGAAACAAAACAGGGGCGGTGGCGGCGGCCGGAGGCAAGGCCGGGCTGGGGCTTGGGTGGGGGAGGGGAAGAGCGGCTCGCAGGCTGTTGCTTGGGTAACGGGAACTCCGGCGCCCCTCTGCTTCATCCGGGTCACGGCCCGTCCGCTAGTACCCACAATGTTCCACAGTCTGGTCCTTGGCTCCTCGCCTGTCCCCCTGGTCTTCTACGCCTGTCCCTGGTGTCCCTTTCGTCTTTCCTGGTTTCTTCACTCCGACCTCACCACTGCTTTAGATTCTCCCTTCAGTTCCCCTCAGACGCTTCCAGACTCCCAAGCTTTCCTAGGAATGAGGGAAAATGGAGAAACAGGCACGTATCAGGGAACCCTCACCCTAATAAAGAGCACTTGCTGCGCCAGAACATCTAACTTCATGCCATGTGGGCATCCCTGGGCACTATAGCAAGCTAGTTTTGGCCACTCCCTTGGCATCCTTTCCTGCCAGCTGTGGAATAATGCCCACTGTCTAGCACTGCCCCTGCCAGAGGTTCTTGCCTTCCACAATCGTGGCTTCCAGAAAACAGTAGCATTCGGTAGTGCTGTGTGCGGAGACCCCCAACAATGTGATGACTGCGGAGAGGGAGGCACCTGGGGGAGGATCATTAGGGAGAGGTAGAAGGCAGGGAGGCCTCCAGGATTCTTTCCCAGTGCCCCTGGTTCCCAGAGCTGATGATGCCTCCAGGGTGATTGGCAGCTCTTTGTTTCAGCCCCCCCTCACCCGCCTGCTGGCCCCCCCTCCAACTCTGTCCCTCCGCCCCCCGGCTCCTGCTCTCTCCGCCTAGCCTTTTCCCCTCCCAGCTGCCTGCCTGCCAGGGGTAGTGAGCCGGCTGAAAGGCATGGAGACGCAGGAACTTCGGGGGGCCCTGGCTCTTCTCCTCCTTTGCTCTTTCGCATCTGCCAGTCAGGACCTGCAGGGTAAGCCTGTCTCCATCCTCTTAGACCGCTCTCTGTGTCTTCCCCATTTTCCCTCAACCCAAGTAGCAGAGAGCATGTGGGCAAAGGGAGAGGGAAGAGTCTAGAAATTGAGCCAGAGGAAAACGTTAGACTGCCTAGGGTTCGTGAAATTATGGCCTGGTGGACAGGAGTGGGCACCACAGAGTAGTGGGGGAGTTGGAACGGGCCAGGGTCAGGCATGAGGCCAGGGCAGAGGACTCAGGAACTGGATGCTCAGGCTGCCTGGCTGGGGTGGTTCCTGAGCATCTGTAGGCATCCTGGGGTCTGGGAGAGCAGCCTGAAGGTGGGCATACTGTAGGTCCCTGGGCTTCGTCCCTCTGGGCTCCTGGCTGCCCAAGGATAGGGCGGGGGTGGGGACCAAGAAGCCTGGGCTCTCCCGGAGGTCTGGTGGTGGGATGGGCCAATGGATGTGGGAGAGGTAGCTGGAGCAGATGACACAGGCATAGATTCTTTACTGGCTGGAGGGAAAACCACAGATTGGCCAGGACACAGGAGGCAGAGGAGCTGGGTCCTACATTCCGGTGGGAGATAGCCCAGATGGTGGGAGGGTCAGAGCCCTCAGTGGGCAACTGTTCTTATCCAGAGCGAGTGTGCTGTGCCCCTAGGATGGAAGGAGGGGAACTAGGGTGTGGAACGAGCCAAATCCAGGAATGGAAAGAGAAACTGCCTCCCGTTTCTGCGTTGTGGGAACCAGGTGCCACTCCTGAGGGGGATCAGCACAGCATCTCCTTTGCGCCACCTGGTGGGGGCATCTCAAATTTGTGGGGTGCTGTTTGTGTTTCAAAGTGAGCCTCAAACCTGCAGGTTCCCAGAAGGTGGTAATAGGCAATAATGGGGAAAGGAAGGCACAGCGGCTCTGTCTTCTGAGAGCAACAAGAGTTGAGGTTTTGTTTTGTTTTGTTTTTTTGAGACGGAGTTTCACTCTTGTTGCCCAGGCTGGAGTGCAGTGGCGCGATCTCGGCTCACTGCAACCTCCGCCTCCCAGGTTCAAGCGAGTCTCCTGCCCCAGCCTCCTGAGTAGCTGGGATTACAGGCGCCCGCTACCATTCCCGGCGAGTTTTTGTTGTTGTTTTTGTATTTTTAGTAGAGACGGGGTTTCACCATGTTGGTCAGGCTGGTCTCAAACTCCTGACCTTAGGCGATCCACCTGCCTCAGCCTCCCAAAGTGCTGGGATTACAGGTGCGAGCCACTGCGCCCAGCCAAGGGTTGAATTTTGAGGTGATTAACACTGCCTGGTGATGGGAATAGGGGGTGATGTGGGCTCAGGGGAGGGCATACCTTAGCATTTGATCCCATTCTCTAACCTTGATAACCCCTGCCTGACCAGTAATTGACCTGCTGACTGTGGGCGAGTCTCGGCAGATGGTAGCTGTGGCAGAGAAGATCCGGACAGCCCTGCTCACTGCTGGGGACATCTACCTCTTGTCCACCTTCCGCCTGCCCCCCAAGCAGGGTGGTGTCCTCTTTGGCCTCTATTCTCGCCAAGACAACACGCGATGGCTGGAGGCCTCTGTTGTAGGCAAGATCAACAAAGGTGACTGGTGGGCATCTCCTTTCCTGCAATGGTGACCTCTTTTAAGCATTATCCCTCATCCCTACTTCACAAGTGCTTCCTCATTCTCCTTGGCCTCCACTGGGGACCAAGGTCCCATCAGGCTGTGCCCAGACATCAGGGGCGCCTGGTATGGGGTGCTTACAAGGTGCTTTAAGAGGCCATGTACCAAACAATAGGGTGAGGCTTGAGTCCTGATATTTGTAGGGATGGGAGGTTGTACTTGGGGATGCTTGGAGGGAGGTGAGGCATGTCTCTGTGCCTCAGCGGTGGTATAGAAAGGTCTTTCAGATCCCTGGAACAGTTCAGTGGCCACAGAACCAGCTGTCACCATAGGAGAGGATAGAGTCATCTGATACCAATGAATACTAAGAAAGTATTTATCTCTAAACCAATTATTTTTTCCAACGGAGTCTCGCTTTGTTACCTAGGCTGGAGTGCAGTGGTACAATCTCAGCTCACTGCAACCTCCACCTCCTGGGTTCAAGCAATTCTATCTTAGCCTCCTGAGTAGCTGAGACTGGTGCCCACCACCACGCCTGGCAAACTTTTGTATTTTTAGTAGAAATAGGGTTTCACCATGTTGACCAGGTTGTTCTCGAACTCCTGACCTCAAGTGATCTGCCCACCTTGGCCCCCTAAAGTGCTGGGATTACAGGTGTGAGTCACTGTGCCTGGCCTCTAAACCAATTTCAAAAACATTTATTGTGTACCTATTACATACAAAGTGTTGACAGCTACATAGTAGAATTAGGGATGGGGGCCCTAGAGATGTGGTATCCAGCAGAGTTGATCCAAGGCTCAGCTGGGAGGCAGGGGGAAGGGGATAGCACCCATACTGATCTCCCCTCCTGGGCAGTACTGGTGCGATACCAGCGGGAGGATGGCAAAGTCCACGCCGTGAACCTACAGCAAGCAGGCCTGGCCGATGGTCGCACACACACAGTTCTCCTGCGACTCCGAGGTCCCTCCAGACCCAGCCCTGCTCTGCATCTCTATGTGGACTGCAAACTGGGTGACCAACATGCAGGCCTTCCAGCACTGGCCCCCATTCCTCCAGCAGAGGTCGATGGGCTGGAGATTAGGACTGGACAGAAAGCATATTTGAGGATGCAGGTGAGCCGGGAGGAGCCTCTGAGTTCTGTGGAAATAGAATTTGCACCAGTTGGGGAAGGGGTTGGTAGACCTTCCCACCTTACTCTGCTGCTATCCCCCCAGGGCTTTGTGGAATCTATGAAAATTATTCTGGGTGGGTCCATGGCCCGGGTAGGAGCCCTGAGTGAGTGTCCATTCCAAGGGGACGAGTCCATCCACAGTGCAGGTAACACAGAGACTTGTTTGCTGACATTGGACCATGGGTCCTGTGGCCTTTGGTGACTCCTGTCTTCTTGACCTCCCTCTCCATTAAAACCCATTCCTTTGGCTCACCCATTCCTAGGGTTTCTAACCCTGTTATTCCAAATCTTTTACCTGACTCCACAATCTCCAATATAGCCATCCCAGAAAAAAAAGCGATCCAAGAGAGGAATTAGTTAATTGCTTGGTCTTGGCTGACCAAGAGATACTGGTCTCCAGTAATATTTTTTTTTTTTTTTTGGAGATGGAGTCTTGTTCTGTTGCCCAGGCTGGAGTGCAGTGGTGCAATCTGGGTCACTGCAAGCTCCACCTCCTGCGTTCAAGTGATTCTCCTGCCTCAGCCTCCCAAGTAGCTGGGATTACAGGCGCCCACCACCATACCCGGCTAATTTTTGTATTTTTAGTAGAGATGGGGTTTCACCACATTGGCCAGGCTGGTCTCGAACACCGAATCTCAAGTGATCCACCTACCTTGGCCTCTCAAAGTGCCGGGATTATAGGCGTGAGCCACCGTGCACGACCTGGTCTCGAGTCTTTTATAGTTCCCACTGGCAACTGTCACTAGCAATTTCTCTGAGTATTGCCCATCTGCCTGCTCTCTCTGACAGGGATGTTCAGAAGCTCTCACCTAAATAAAACCTCCCCAGATACTTGAAGGAGAGCTCTTGAAGAAGGGAATGGGATGGCTGGGTGTGGTGGCTCACACCTGTAATCCCAGCACTTCGGGGGGGCCGAGGTGGGCTGATCACTCAAGGTCAGGAGTTCAAGACCAGCCTGGCCAACATGGTGAAACCTCATCTCTACTAAGAAATACAAAAAATTAGCTGGGCATGGTAGTGGGTACCTGTAGTCCAGTTACTTGGGAGGTAGAGGCAGGAGAGTCGCTTGAACCCGGGAGGTGGAGGTTGTGGTGAGCTGAGATCGTGCCACTGCATTCTAGCCTGGGCAACAGAGCAAGACTCTGTCTCAAAAAAAAGAAAAAAAAAAAGGCCGGGCGCGGTGACTCAAGCCTGTAATCCCAGCACTTTGGGAGGCCGAGACGGGCGGATCACGAGGTCAGGAGATCGAGACCATCCTGGCTAACACAGTGAAACCCCGTCTCTACTAAAAAATACAAAAAACTAGCCGGGCGAGGTGGCGGGCGCCTATAGTCCCAGCTACTCGGGAGGCTGAGGCAGGAGAATGGCGGGAATCCGGGAGGCGGAGCTTGCAGTGAGCCGAGATCCGGCCACTGCACTCCAGCCTGGGCGACAGAGCGAGACTCCGTCTCAAAAAAAAAAAAAAAAAAAAAAAAAACACTCCAGCCTGGGCGACAGAGCGAGACTCCGTCTCAAAAAAAAAAAAAAAAAGAAAAAGAAAAAAGAAGGGAATGGGTGTACTGGGGCCCTGGCCCTGCTTTGGGCCCATCCCTGCTGCCACTACCATGCCTAGGAACCAGGAGGATTTGGGTTTTGACTTCCTGTGAAGCAACTCCCTTAGAGGGCCTTTTGCCCTGTGGAAGTAGCTGGCACTGCTTGTCTGCCAGCTCTACCCTCCCAGTATCCAGCACCCCATCTTTATTCTGGGGCTCCAGCCCTGTCCCTGTCCTCACCTTCCTTCTTCCTCCTCACCAGCCAGGCCTCTCTTCACTTCACCTCACCCCTCTGACTATGTTTTCTTCTCCTCTCCAGTGACCAATGCACTGCACTCCATTCTAGGTGAGTAGGCCACACTGAAGCGGAAGCAGGGACGGGGGAGGAGGCCCCAGGCTCTGGCAGCTGCCTGAAACTAAGTCCTCTTCAGTCAGGAATGTAGTAGGTTTAAAGGCAGAGGTGGGCAGCCGTGGCATGTGCCGGCTTATTGCCCATGGAGGGCCCAGGACTGGTGCTCCAGTACTGAGCCCCTCACACCCTGGGTCCTGACAGGGGAGCAGACCAAGGCGCTGGTCACCCAACTCACCCTCTTCAACCAGATCCTGGTGGAGCTGCGGGATGATATACGAGACCAGGTTTGGGTGGACCGGTAAAGGGTGGCACTGATTCTGGGGTGGGGTGGCAGATGTCAAGTGCTGACTCCTTCCCATCCTTCTCCAGGTGAAGGAAATGTCCCTGATCCGAAACACCATTATGGAGTGTCAGGTGTGCGGTGAGTGGGAGAGCAGGGGAGGCTCCAGATGATAGTGCCACGTTCCCCACCCAATGGCTTTGGCTTTCCCTTCTCGTGGCTTAAATAGTGACCATCGGGTAGCTCTGACTGTGTCCACCCCTCAGGCTTCCATGAGCAGCGTTCCCACTGCAGCCCCAATCCCTGCTTCCGAGGCGTGGACTGCATGGAAGTGTACGAGTACCCAGGCTACCGCTGTGGGCCCTGTCCCCCTGGCCTACAGGGCAACGGCACCCACTGCAGTGACATCAATGAGGTGGGGGAGGGCAGAGCCCAGAAGGGTACAGAAAACTGGGGTGAGGATGTCAGGAGGAGCCCAAGAGGGTGGGATAAATGCTGGTCCAGAGGAGAGGAATTTGGAGTTTAGGAGAGGTCAGAGGCAAGAAGAGAAATGCAAGATGGGAGAGACAGAAGGCCTAGGGCAAAGACTGAAGGCCACACAGGGAAGGAGCTGGGGAAACTGCAGGGGAGGCTTGAGATGGTGACCAGGCGCATGGGGAGGGAGAGAGGGAACCCCGAGGGAAGCGGGGTGGGGACCAGGAGCACAAGGCGGTTGTGTGGGGGGGAGAGCTGCACAAAGGGGAGACCTGGAGCAATGGTTCATGGATCACAGGCAGGGGCCTGAGTTTCCCGGAGGGTGGCCTGACCTCTGCCTTCTCATTTGTTCCCCAGTGTGTTCACGCCGACCCCTGTTTCCCGGGCTCCAGCTGCATCAACACCATGCCCGGCTTCCACTGTGAGGCCTGTCCTCGAGGGTACAAGGGCACACAGGTGTCTGGTGTGGGCATTGACTATGCCCGGGCCAGCAAACAGGTCAGACTGGGTAGTGTGTGTGGACAAGGGATCTTGGCCTTGTAGAGGCCAGGGGCTTCTGGGTTAGACATGGGACCCTTGTGATGAATGGGACATGGATGGCTTTGCATCGGCTTTGGGTCTGGGCTTAATGTTGATGTTCACAGATAAGGCCATACCAGTGTCCTCTGCTGTATCTGAGGAGACCCACCATAGGTCTGGTTCCACCCAAAGTCTGCCCCTTCAGGTCTGCAATGACATCGATGAATGCAACGATGGCAACAATGGTGGCTGTGACCCAAACTCCATCTGCACCAACACTGTGGTGAGCTGAATACCCTGAGTGTATTCTGGGGTGGTGGGAATGGTAAAACCCCAACCTTTTCCCCTTCTTACCTTCAAATTTCCTGCTGCCTTTCCTCCTCCCCAGGACACTACACAGATTAGGTGTTCACATGGACTTGGTTTGGAATACTGATTTGCCTCTTGCTAGCTCTTTGGCAGGTTATTTAACTTTTCTGAGCCTCAGCTTCCTCATCTGAAAACCAAGGCTATTATCCACCCTGAAAGGCTGTCATGAGAACCTAAAGGAGATACTGATATGCCTGGCATAGCCGAGTGCCCAGCCCACACCCCGCAGCTGGGGCAGTGCTGGTCCTGGGTGCCTGGTGGGCTCACCCTCGTTCCTAAGATGCTGCCTCTCCACTCTTAGGGCTCTTTCAAGTGTGGTCCCTGCCGCCTGGGTTTCCTGGGCAACCAGAGCCAGGGCTGCCTCCCAGCCCGGACCTGCCACAGCCCAGCCCACAGTCCCTGCCACATCCATGCTCATTGTCTCTTTGAACGCAATGGTGCAGTGTCCTGCCAGGTAAGCTAGGCTTCAGACATGGAAGGAAAAGGGAGAGTCTGGGGAAAGGGGTAGGGCTATGTTTAGGGCCTGGGTTGCAGGCCTTCACAGGAGAGAGGTGGGCCTGAGCCCAGGAACTGGTTGGTGGGGAGAACAGAACCTGAAGCAGGGAAAATAGAGGGAGGAGGGGAGCCAGACCAGACTGCTAGCTCCTACCCTTTGTGTTGCCCTAGTGTAACGTGGGCTGGGCTGGGAATGGGAACGTATGTGGGACTGACACAGACATCGATGGCTATCCAGACCAAGCACTGCCCTGCATGGACAACAACAAACACTGCAAACAGGTGCAGGGAGCAGGCGGGTGAGGGGGCGTAGTGGGTAGCCCAGGCTGGGTCAGGCCAGAACTCATCCATTCTCTTCCCCCTGAACTTTAGGACAACTGCCTTTTGACACCCAACTCTGGGCAGGAAGATGCTGATAATGATGGTGTGGGGGACCAGTGTGATGACGATGCTGATGGGGATGGGATCAAGAATGTTGAGGTGACTCCCAGATTGCCCTGCCCCTTGGAGCTCCTCTCCTCTCCTCCTGTCCTCTCAGTGCCTCTCTTACCTCATTTGGCAGCTCTCTAGGAAGGGCTCAATACTCCAAATCAGAGAAGCAAAAACCTCGTGCCCAGGACAAGGAGGCTGGGTGGGTGGGACTGTGCTGAGCAGTTTGTCCATCACAAGGGTGTGATCTTAGAAAAGGATACAGTGACAAAGTAGGTGCAAGATGACAAGTGATTTAGGGGAGACCTGACCCTTCCCCTCCCACCCCTCTGCCCAGGACAACTGCCGGCTGTTCCCCAACAAAGACCAACAGAACTCAGATACAGATTCATTTGGTGATGCCTGTGACAATTGCCCCAACGTTCCCAACAATGACCAGAAGGACACAGATGGCAATGGGGAAGGAGATGCCTGTGACAACGACGTGGATGGGGATGGTGCAGGCCTGGGGCTGAAGGGGTGGCTGGGGGACCTGTAAGAATTTGGATCAGGTAGGGATGAAGAAGGGAAGCTAGGACATCTCTGTGAACTGGGGAGGCAGGCTTGTGGACGCTGGCCTGGGTGAGGAGAGACTACCTGCAGCAGATGTCAATGGGAATGTGAGGCAGGGCGCAGCGTTGGGCAGAGTGTGGACTAGAAGGTAAGACAAGAAACAGGCAGATTTCCTGACCAGTTGTCCTCTAGGTGGGGAGACAAAGTTCAGGACTTTCACCAACCTAGGAGAGAGAGTATGGCGTGTTCTAGTAACAACCTTGTGCCACCCATGTCTTCTAGGCATCCCCAATGGATTGGACAATTGCCCTAAAGTCCCCAACCCACTACAGACAGACAGGGATGAGGACGGGGTGGGAGATGCTTGCGACAGCTGTCCTGAAATGAGCAATCCTACCCAGGTACAGGGGGATGGTAAGGACGGGAGGGATGAGAGTACTGATGGATGAAGCCCCAGCCCTTTGGATGGGAAGTGGTCAGATCACCCTCTTCAGAGTTATAAAGAGGAGATGGTGAGAACAGGTCCCTCTCTCTCAGACAGATGTAGACAGCGACTTGGTGGGGGATGTCTGTGATACCAATGAAGACAGGTAAGGTCTTGATCAAGAGATGCAAGGTATTTCTTTTTTTTTTGTTTTTTTTTTGAGACGGAGTCTTGCTCTGTCACCCAGGCTAGAGTACAGTGGCACGATCTTGGCTCACTGCAACCTCCGCTTCCCAGGGTCAAGTGATTCTCCTGCCTCAACCTCCCCGAGTAGCTGGGATTACAGGCGTGTGCTACCAAGCCCAGCTAATTCTTGTATTTTTAGTAGAGACAGGGTTTCACCATATTGGCCAGGCTGGTCTCGAACTCCTGACCTCAGGTGATCCACCAGCCTCTGCCTCCCAAAGTGCTGTGACTACAGGTGTGAGCCACTGTGCCTGGCAAAATGCAAGTTCTTATAGGGGATATTTTACTTTCCTCTAGTATATCTTTTTTTTTTTTTTTTTTTTTGAGACGGAGTCTCGCTCTGCTGCCCAGACTGGAGTGCAGTGGCACGATCTCGGCTCACTGCAAGCTCCGCCTCCTGGGTTCACGCCATTCTCCTGCCTCAGCCTCCCGAGTAGCTGGGACTACAATTGGCCACCACCACACATGGCTAATTTTTTGTGTTTTTAGTAGAGACGGGGTTTCACTGTGTTAACCAGAATGGTCTCGATCTCGTGACCTCGTGATCCGCCCGCCTCAGCCTTCCAAAGTGCTGGGATTACAGGTGTGAGCCACCGCACCCAGCCTCCTATTTTTTTTGAGATGGAGTCTCACTCTGCCACCCAAGCTGGAGTGCAGTGATGTGGTATCGGCTTACTGCAACCTCTGCCTCCAGGGTTCAAGCGATTTCCCTGCCTCAGCCTCCTGAGTAGCTGGGATTACAAGCGCGTGCTACCAAGCTCGGCTAATTTTTTTTTTCAGTAGAGACAGGGTTTCGTTGTGTTGGCCAGGCTGGTCTCGAACTCCTGAAGTCAGGTGATCTGCCCACCTTGGCTTCCCAAAGTCCTGGGAATACAGGCGTGAGCCACTGTGCCCGGGCCATAGTATATTCTAAATTCCTTCTATGATTTAGCCTTAATTCTCTATCGCTATTGAGCAGGAAGTCATTCTTATAGTCATCCCTCCATTCCTACTGCTGGACCTTCACCTCAGAAAACTGACTGCCAGAGGTCTGATTGTATGGAGAGTAGACTCCAGAGGCTCCCAGGCAGAAGCAAGGGGAAGGACAAGGAGTACCTTTAAAGCCTTTATTTGGTACCTGTTCTTCTGATTAGTGATGGGGATGGGCATCAGGACACCAAGGACAACTGCCCACAGCTGCCAAATAGCTCCCAGCTGGACTCAGACAACGATGGACTTGGAGATGAGTGTGATGGGGATGATGACAATGATGGCATCCCAGATTACGTGCCTCCTGGTCCTGATAACTGCCGCCTGGTACCCAATCCCAATCAGAAGGACTCAGATGGTAAGCCTGGGGACCCAGAGCGTGTTGCCTTTGCCCAGCTGGAGGCAGCAAGCCCCGTTGGGAAGTGAGGAACGGCAAGGTGGGGAAAGAAGTCAGGAATGCAAGGCCCAACAGGTGGTATTGTTGCCTAATGGCAGTGGCCAGGGCCTTCCTGAGCACCCAGCCTCACTCTGCCCAGGCAATGGCGTTGGTGATGTGTGTGAGGATGACTTTGACAATGATGCTGTGGTCGACCCCCTGGATGTGTGTCCCGAAAGTGCAGAGGTAACGCTTACGGATTTTCGGGCCTATCAGACTGTCGTCCTGGATCCTGAGGGTGATGCTCAGATTGACCCAAACTGGGTTGTGCTCAACCAGGTACTCGGGGCAGTGGGCTGGGCAGGTGCTATCAGGGCTACTGGGGCGGGGGGCCTGGGAGGGATAGCACACCTGCATCACAGCTTTTTCTTTACTATACAACCCCAGGGCATGGAAATCGTTCAGACCATGAACAGTGACCCTGGCTTGGCAGTTGGTATGTAAGGGATATATAGTTCAATCACTTCCAAATGGAGGAATCCTATAGGGGCAGAGGGCAGGGGAGGAAACAGACAGGGAGAATGGGCAAAGTGGTGAGAGAGAAGGCAGTGGCACAAGCTGGCCACACACATAGCAGGCCTCCTTTCCCAACTTCACCCCATGATGGGCCACCAGTAGCTTTGCTGCCCCTGACCTTTATCCCACCCCCACCCCAGGATACACGGCCTTCAATGGTGTGGACTTTGAAGGCACCTTCCATGTGAACACAGTGACTGACGATGACTACGCAGGCTTTCTCTTCAGTTATCAAGACAGTGGCCGCTTCTACGTAGTCATGTGGAAGCAGACTGAGCAGACCTACTGGCAGGCTACACCCTTTCGGGCGGTTGCCCAGCCCGGGCTGCAGCTCAAGGTCCCCAGCTGCTCAGATTCCCCAACCCAGGGCCCTTTCCCAAAGCTCTCCTCTGCAGCCCCAGGGCCTCCCCCACTGCTTGACTGGGAACCCTCTTACCCAGACATCTGGCTTGGAGCCAGCTCTGTGGGGCATTTTCATGACCGCCTTGACTCCCTTTCCCATCTGCACTTACCAACCTGTTGTCTCCCCTCACTCCAGTTCTGCAGTTGACCCACTGTCTTTGCCAATGTCTCCCAGGCAGTGACATCAGTGTCTGGCCCAGGTGAGCACCTCCGAAATGCCCTGTGGCATACTGGCCACACCCCTGATCAGGTGCGACTACTGTGGACGGACCCACGAAATGTGGGCTGGCGGGACAAGACCTCCTATCGCTGGCAGCTTCTGCACCGGCCTCAAGTTGGCTACATTCGGTAAGGAGAGGGGCTGAGCCCACCTGTGGGACTCAGGCCGGGCCTGTCCTTCCTCTTTAGCTGGGACTCACCAGTGACCTCTCCATGGGTGGGGACTGCAGCCACTTCTCTCCATCTCCCTTTCTCACCACGGACACAAGCACCTATGAGTGATGTTGGTGAAGTCACTCCTCCTCCATGACCTATTTTCCCCTCTGTAAAATGAGGGCATTGGGTTAGATGCCCTTTACAGTTCTCCAGAAGCCTCCAAACCCAGGCCAATCTGTGGAGGGGCACATCACATCTGGTCCCTTAGTTGGTATGGCCTGGAATCTGTCTTATCAACCTGGATAAGGATCATCTGACCTGGAAGGGATCATCATTTACAGAAGAGAAAACCAAGGCCCTGACTTCACAGGCCTCGGTTCAGCACTTTGTTCACAACTTTGCATTCCTCTCCAACAAGTAGCCCTAGTTGGTGGGGATGAACAGGAAGGGAGGGGAAATGGGTCTGCTTAGAGGCTGGACTTTCCATGGCCAAGAGCCCAGAATCCAGGAACCTGGGTTGATTCCCCTTTAAGGTGCCTGGGGCTGTGGGGTGCCAGGACAGGGGATAAAAGGGGGTGGACTAGAGCCTGGGAAGCGGGTGACTTCACCCCCCAGCCCATTGTGCTTATCGTCATGGCAACCCAATCCTCGCTTGGAATGCGGCTGGTGCTTTGAGATGCAAAAGGAGCTGGACAAAGAGCTGGGGCCCCAGGCCTGAGAAAAGCACCCCCCTTCCCTCTCCTTCCTGCCTCCCTTTCCCTCCCTCCCTTCTCTCTCAGGCCTGGTGAGCTCAAGGGGGGCTGGGGAAAAGCAAGGCCCCAGGCATGGTGGCAGAGTGCCCACTGGCACCCTAGCACCAATGGACACTCCTATCCTGGAATCCTGGACAGGGTGAAGCTCTATGAGGGACCCCAGCTTGTGGCGGATTCTGGGGTGATTATTGACACATCCATGCGAGGGGGGCGTCTTGGTGTATTCTGCTTTTCCCAAGAAAACATCATTTGGTCCAATCTCCAGTATCGATGCAATGGTGAGGCGACTGATTGAGATCAACCTGATCCTTCATGCCTTATGGGAAAGCCACATCCTCTGACTTTACTTATTTCCCCTTCAGACACAGTGCCTGAGGACTTTGAGCCATTCCGGAGGCAGCTGCTCCAGGGAAGGGTGTGAGGAGGAGGCCACCGGATTCAGAATTCAGAATTTTAGACCCTTTGGCCTTGGGATCCACCCTGGAGACCCTGAGGTCTAAGCTACAGCCCCTCAGCCAACCACAGACCCTTCTCTGGCACCCAAAAGGAGTTCAGTTCCAGAGGGGTGGTCGCCCCACTCTTCAGGGGATGAGTTTTCAAGGGGTATTACTCAGGCACTAACCCCAGGAAAGATGACAGCACATTGCCATAAAGTTCTGGTTGTTTTCTAAGCCAGTGCAACTGCTTATTTTAGGAATTTTCCGAGATAGGGTGGGGAAGTGGAAGGAATCGGGGAGTAGAAGAGAAAGCCTGGGAGGGGGGAAGTTAGGGATCTAGGGGAAGTTTGGCTGATTTGGGGGTGCGGGTTGGGGAGGTGCTGGATGGAGTTAAGTGAAGGATAGGGTGCCTGTCGGAGGATGCCCGAAGTCCTCCCAGCCCCACTTACTCACGGTGGCAGCGGCGACACTCCAGTCTATCAAAGATCCGCCGGGATGGAGAGCCAGGAGGGCGGGGGCTGCCCCGCTAGGGGTAGGGGGGAGGCCGGGGGGCCGGGGGGGCCGGAGGCCGGGACGAGTGCAATATTGGCGGGGGAAAGAACAACACTGCACCGCGTCCCGTCCCTCCCGCCCGCCCGGGGCCCGGGATCCCGCTCCCCACCGCCTGAAGCCGGCCCGACCCGGGAACCCGGGGCGCGCTGGGGAGTTGGGAGTTGGGTTCACCTTGGAGGCCAGAGAGACTTGGCGCCCACAAGGCAAAGGGAATGGTAAGGGGGAGGGGGGAAGAAGAACGGGAGTTTGCGGAGTCCCGGAAGGCCGCTTTCCGACGCCCGGGCGTTGCGCGCGCTTGCTCTTTAAGTACTCAGACTGCCCGGCGCGGAGCCGTCGCCATGGTGACGCGTGTCCCAGCAACCGAACTGAATGGCTGTTGCCTGGTAATGCCGGGAGTTGAGGTTTGGGGCCGCCCACCTAGCTACTCTGGTTTTCTCCAGCCTGCGAGTGGGGGGCTCCCCGCCTCCCTGGCCCGCGTTCCCGGGCGCACTGACGTCAGACGCCCCCACCCCGCCCAGCGCCCGCCCCGGGGTCTCGCCGCGCACAAAGCTGCGCCTCGGGTACCGAGCGGCGCGCGGGCGGGAACGGTGGTCTCTCGTCTGCTGATCCGATGCTCTCCAATCCCGTGCCTCGCCGAAGTGTTTTTAAAGTGCTTTCCAACCTGTGTCTTTGGGGCTGAGAACTGTTTTCCGAATACAGGCGGAACTGCTTCCGTTGGCCTAGAGCGCAGCCTGCGACTGCGGGACCCAAGTTCCACGTGCTGCCGCGGCCCGGGATAGCTTCCTCCCCTGGTGCACTGCTGCCGCACACACCTCTCGGCTCTTGCGCATTACGCACCTTACGTGTGCTTTTGCCTTCCACTACGTACCTACCTGTCCCCAATACCACTCTGCTCCCCAAAGGATAGTTCTGTCCCTAAATCCCATTCTGTCACCCCAACTACTCTCTGCGCCCCCCCCGCTTTTTGAGACGGAGTCTTGCTCTGTCGCCCAGGCTGGAGTGCAGTGGTGCGATCTCGGCTCAGAGCAACCTCTGCCTCCTGAGTTCAGGCGATTCTCCTGCCTCAGCCTCCTGAGTAGCTGGGATTACAGCGCCCGCCACCACGCTCAGCTAATTTTTGTATTTTTTAGTACAGACGGGGTTTCACCAACTTGGCCAGGCTGGTCTTAGAACTCCTGACCTCGTGATCCACCCGCCTCGCCCTTTCAAAGTGCTGGGATTACGGGCGTGAGCCACCGCGCCCGGCCCGATCTGCCTCTTAAGTACATAACGGCCCACACAGAACGTGTCCAACTCCCCTGCCCACGTTCCAATGTCCTCTCCCACATATCTCAGTGCCCCTTCCACATACCTCAGGACCCCACCCGCTTAGCTCCATTTCCTCCAGACGCCACCACCACGCGTCCAGGAGTGCCCCCTCCTAAAGCTCCCAGAAGTCCACCATGCTGTGCGTTCCTCCCTCCCTGGCCACGGTAGTGACCCTTCTCTCCCGGGCCCTACCTCCCTCTCGCGGGCTCTCGCTGCCCCACTTAGGCAGCGCTGCCCTTACTCCTCTCCGCCAGGTCAGAAAAGCTCCTCAGCCGGCGCGGTCCAGCCCCGCAAGGCTCCTGGTGACCACTAGAGGGCGGGAGGAGCTCCTGGCCAGTGGTGGACAGTGGCAAGGAAGGACCCTAGGGTTCATCGGAGCCCAGGTTTCCTCCCTTAAGTGGAAATTTCTTCCCCCACTCCCTTCTCAGGAGAATGCCAAGGAGGGAACCCAGGCTGCTGGAAAGTCCGGCTGGGGCGGGGACTGTGGGTTTCAGGGTAGAACTGCGTTTGGAACGGGACAGGGAGCGGTTAGAAGGGTGGGGCTATTCTGGGAAGTGGTGGGGGGAGGGAGCCCAAAACTAGCACCTAGTCCACTCATTATCCAGCCCTCTTATTTCTTGGCCCCGCTCTGCTTCAATGGACCCAAGGAGGGCAGGGAAGTGGAGTGGGAGACCTAGGGGTGGGCTTCCTGGCCTTGCTGTACAGAACCTCAACCTAGCCGTCTTTGTTCCCCATTCCCACCTTAGTTGTTGCCCTGGGGCTAAAACTAGAGCCCAGGGGCCCCAGGTTCCAGACTGCCCCTCCCCACTCCACCCTGGAGCCAGGGAGTGGTTGGTGAAAGGGGGAGGCCAGCTGGAGAACAAATGGGTAGTCGGGGGGTTGAGCGATTAGAGCCCTTGTAGCCTACCCAGGAATGGTAGGGGAGGAGGAGGAACAAGTAGGAGGTAGGGAAGGGGGAGGGGGCGGGGTTTTGTCACCTGTCACCTGCTCCAGCTGTGCCTAGGGCGGGCGGGCAGGGGGGAGGGGGGCCAGGGGGACTGGTATAAAGCAGCAGGCGCCTGTGCCCGCTCCACCTCTCAAGCAGCGCCTGCCTGAGTCTGTTCTGCCCTCTCCCCTCCCAGTCCACCACCACCATGACACCAGGCACCCAGTCTCCTTTCTTCCTGCTCCTGATCCTCACAGTGCTTACAGGTGAGGGGCACAAGGTGGGGAGTGGGCTGCCCTGCTTAGGTGGTCTTCGTGGTCTTTCTGTGGGTTTTGCTCCCTGGCAGATGCACCATGAAAGGCAAGAATTCTGTCTGTGCCAGAAGGAGGGAGAGGCTAAGGACAGGCTGAGAAGAGATGCCCCCACCCCTAAGAGTGGGTGCCAGGGGCAAGCAAATGTCCTGAAGAGAAGTCTAAGGGGAAGGGAGTAGGGAGAGGGAAGGCTTAAGAGGGGAGAAATGCAGGGGCCAGGAGCTGAGGCCTGTGGGCAGACAGAAGGAGGCTGCTGCAGGGAAGGAGGCAGCCAACCCAGGGGCTGCTGAGGCTGCCCACTCCCCAGTCCTCCTGGTATTATTTCTCTGGTGGCCAGAGCTTGTATTTTCTTCTTGCTCTTATTTTTCCTTCAACCCAACCCTATTACTTTAACTTATCACAGCTGCCACAGCCCCTGAACCCACAACAGTTGTTACAGGTTCTGGTCATACAAACTCTATCCCAGGCGGAGAAAAGGAGACTTCGGCTACCCAAAGAAGTTCAATGCCCATCTCTACTAAGAATGCTGTGAGTATGACCAGCAGACTCTCCAGCCACAGCCCCGTTTCAGGCTCCTCCACCACTCAGGGACAGGACGTCACCCCAGCCCTGGCCATGAAACCAGCCACAGGTTCGGCTACCACCTTGGGACACGATGTCACCTCGGCCCCGGACACCAGTGCAGCCCCGGGCTCCACCGGCCCCCCAGCCCACGACGTCACCTCGGCCCCGGACACCAGTGCAGCCCCGGGCTCCACCGGCCCCCCAGCCCACGACGTCACCTCGGCCCCGGACACCAGTGCAGCCCCGGGCTCCACCGCCCCCCCAGCCCACGACGTCACCTCGGCCCCGGACACCAGTGCAGCCCCGGGCTCCGCCGCACCCCCAGCCCACGATGTCACCTCTGCCGCCCCCCCAGCCCACGATGTCACCTCGGCCCCGGACACCAGTGCAGCCCCGGGCTCTGCCACCCCCCCAGCCCACGATGTCACCTCGGCCCCGGACATCAGTGCAGCCCCGGGCTCCGCCGCACCCCCAGCCCACGATGTCACCTCGGCCTCAGACTCTGCATCAGGCTCAGCTTCCACTCTGGTGCACAGCACCACCTCTGCCAGGGCTACCACCACCCCAGCCAGCAAGAGCACTCCATTCTCAATTCCCAGCCACCACTCTGATACTCCTACCACCCTTGCCAGCCACAGCACCAAGACTGATGCCAGTAGCACTCACCATAGCACAGTACCTCCTCTCACCTCCTCCAATCACAGCACTTCTCCCCAGTTGTCTCTTGGGGTCTCTTTCTTTTTCTTGTCTTTTCACATTTCAAACCTTCAGTTTAATTCCTCTCTGGAAGATCCCAGCACCAACTACTACCAACAGCTGCAGAGAGACATTTCTGAATTGGTGAGTATCAGCCTTTCCTTTCCCATGTTCCCCTGAAGCAGCCATCAGAACTGTCCACACCCTTTGCATCAAGCCTGAGTCCTTTCCCTCTCACCCCAGTTTTTGCAGATTTATAAACAAGGGGATTTTCTGGGCCTCTCCAATATTATGTTCAGGTATAGTTCTGGGTGTGGACTCAGTGTGGTGGTTGGAGGGTGGGTGTTGGTCATGACCGTAAGGAGGGACTGGTGCACTCAAGGTTGGGGGAGAGTCCTGAGCCAGAGCTGGGACCCGTGGCTGAAGTGCCCATTTCCCTGTGACCAGGCCAGGATCTGTGGTGGTACAATCGACTCTGGTCTTCCGAGAAGGTACCACCAATGTCCACGATGTGGAGACACAGTTCAATCAGCGTAAAACGGAAGCAGCCTCTCGATATAACCTGACGATCTCAGACATCAGCGGTGAGGCTACTTCCCTGGCTGCAGCCCAGCACCATGCTGGGGCCCCTCTCCTTCCAGTGTCTAGTTCCCCACTTTTTCCTCAGTGCTGGCAGTTAGAGGGGCACCTCCTCTGGGAGACTGCCCTAACCACTGCTTTTCCTTTTAGTGCGTGATGTGCCATTTCCTTTCTCTGCCCAAACTGGGGCTGGGGTGCCAGGCTGGGGCGTTGCGCTCCTGGTGCTGGTCTGTGTTCTGGTTGTGCTGGCCATCGTCTATTTCATTGCCTTGGTGAGTGCAGTCCCTGGCCCTGATCAGTGCCCTCCCCTCCGCCGACAGAAAGCACTCCATGGTCTGCCATAACCTCCTATTTCCCCAGGCTGTCTGTCAGTGCCGCCAAAAGAACTACAGGCAGCTGGACATGTTTCCCGCCCGGGATGCCTACCATCCTATGAGCGAGTACCCCACCTACCACACCCATGGGCGCTATGTGCCCGCTGGTGGTACCAATCGTAGCCCCTATGAGGAGGTGAGATTGGGCCCCACAGGCCGGGGGAGGCAGAGGCTTTGGCTGGGCAAGGGTTCTGAAGGGGGTACTTGGAAAACCCAAAGAGCTTGGAAGAGGTGAGAAGTGGCATGAAGTGAGCAGAGGAGGACCTGGCAAGGATGGGGGGGCAGAGGTCAGAGGAGTTCTGGGGGACAGGCCTGGGAGGAGACCATGAAAGAAAGGGGCCCTCAAGAGGGAGTGGCCCCACTACTAGAATTTCTAAAAGAGCATTGGCTGTCCACATTCATGCTGGCTGGCCCTGGCTGAACTGGTGCCACCACAGCAGTTTTGTTTTGTTTTGTTTGCACCCAGAGGCAAAATGGGTAGAGCACTATGCCCAGGGGAGCCCTTCCTGAGGAGTCACAGGGGTGAGCCCCTGTGCCCCTAATCATCTCCTAGGAATAGAGGGTAGACCGAGAAAGGCTGGTGTAGGGGGAGGTTTCCCAGGTAGAGGAAGAAGTGTCAGCAGACCAGGTGAGCCTGGGTGCCAGTTGGGTTCTTGGGAGCTTCAAGGAAGTAAGGAACCCTCCCTCCTTCCTCTCCTGGCTTTTCTCTGTGGGACCTAGTAAATAATTACTGCAGCCACCTGAGGCTGGAAAACCACTCCAGGCTGGGGAGGAGAGAGGAGTTTATTTTTCTTGCTCCTATTTTCCTCGTCCTGGAGACCTCCCTCTCTCGGTTTTACAAAGACACAGATACACACACACACATGCACACACACACACACACCTACACACCTTCTTTGGCTGGAACAGCAGAGAATAGGGGGACAAGGCGGCTGATTAGAGCCAAGAAGAGGAAGTGAAGGAGAGCAGAGGGAGGAGGGCAGCCCTGTTTACAGTTACTGGCTGGTGGGGTGGCAGGTGCTCTCTCTGAATAAGCCCTTTGAGAGCTGGCCAGGACTCTGGACTGATTACCCCAGCCTGGGGTGGCATCCGGGGCTCTAGGAGGTACCTTCTGCTCCTCACCCTGGATCTCTTTTCCTTCCACCTAGGTTTCTGCAGGTAATGGTGGCAGCAGCCTCTCTTACACAAACCCAGCAGTGGCAGCCACTTCTGCCAACTTGTAGGGGCACGTCGCCTACTGAGCTGAGTGGCCAGCCAGTGCCAGTCCACCCCACTCAGGTTCTTCAGGGCCAGAGCCCCTGCACCCTGTTTTGGGCTGGTGAGCTGGGAGTTCAGGTGGGCTGCGCACAGCCTTCCTCAGAGGCCCCACCAAGTTCTCGGAACCTTCTCGGTCTGTGGAAGCTCATGGGGGCCCTTGAGGGCTTATGCCTGGGAAGTGTTGCAGTGGGGCTCCCAGGAGGACTGGCCCAGAGAGCCCGGAGATAGCAGGGGACCTGAACAGGACTGAATAAAACGTGGCCTCCCGCTGCGCCAACTTCTGATCTTTCATCTGTGGCCCGTGGGCAGCAGGGCGGTCAGAATGTGTGTGAGAGGCCTGGGGGAGGAGACAGGGAGGCCAGGAGGCAGTAAGGAGCGGGTTTGTTTGAGAAGCAGGAGATGTGAGGAGGAGGTGACGTTGGGGTGTAGGGGTGGCCTGAGGAGCCACCTCTGGCTAACCCTGGCAGCACAAGCGGAAGGAGGAAACGAAACCCAGGCGGGTTTTGGAGGGTTAGCATGACTGGGCTCCGTGACTGGGCTCTGTGTGCCAGTGGCTCTCCCCTCTCTTCGCCTGGCCCACGCCCTCCTTGCCCTCTGGCACAGTGCCCCCAGGTGGCTCTATTCTTAGCTGTCCGGGTGTGAAGTAAATCCTTGGGCAGTGATAACAGCCCAGAGTCAACAGGGTTGAGATAAGCGGAGGCTGGGTCAGATCCAGGTGCTGGCACCAGGCCCAGCCCCCTCCCTGACCCCGGCTGCCCCACCAGCCTGCTGCCCCTGGGGTGGGCTCCACAACACCCTGGGAATGGGGAAGTAGTTCTGGTTCCCTGATCCCTTTGGGCCCAGGCACATTGCCTGTCCCCTCAACCGCATTCCCCCAGGGCCTGGTGCTGCAGGGCAGGCCCGGATGCCCTGGTTGGGGCCTGCTGCCAGCAGCCAGAGAGCTATGTCTCCTGGCAGCTGTGGTGGGCTCAGGTGGGGTCAGGACACGTGTGGCAGGAGGCTTAGAGCGCCTAGCCTGGGGCCTTCCTCCCTCAGGCACCAGATCCATTGGTTGCCCCTGCCCAGAACCACAGCCTAGCACCCTGCCCCCTCCCGCCCACCACATCCAGCACAGAAACTAACAGGAATGATTGTGCTCAGGGAAAGCAGAGATGTGCCTGGCATCACAGTTTATTATTTATAAACCATGACAATAACAGCTGTTGCTCAGCACAGGCCTAGCAGAGCCCACTGCAGGAGGACAGCAGTGGGCACCAGAGGCCTTGCCTGGCCGAACCCAATGGGAACACCCAGACTCAGCTGGGTCCCCAAGGGAGACTTGGCACATTGGCGTGGGTGCGGGACAGGTAAAAGCATGCAAGAGGGAGAAGAGGGACGTAAGGGGCATGCGGCTGCAGGGGGTCGGGACCCAAATAAATAAAGCACGATGACAGGGTCCCCTTCCCGTCACCAGGAGTGCCTGGACAGCTTCCAGCCCCAAAGCCTGCCTGTCCCAAGGCTGTAGTTCAGCATCAACAGGGCAGGGAGCTTGGCAGGGCAAGGGCAGAGCTGGAGATCATGCCCAGTGTTTCAGGTGCCCGGCCCAATCAGCCTGGGGAGCACAGGACAGGGATGGAGAGGGGGCTCTCTCCATAGCTTGGGTAACATGCCAAAGGCAGGTCATAGGGCAGACTCAGTGGGGGTGGGGGCCTGGCTAACAGGCAATGGAGAGAACGGGGGCCATCCAGAGAGGTGGGCAGAAGAGAGCCCCTGGGTCAAGAGAAAACCATGAGAAGACACAGACACGGGAGAAGGGGCAGGGCCACATGGTAGGAGAGTTTGGGGGAGAAGCTTCCAGGGGGTAACAACCCGGCGCCAAGAGGTTTGGGGGCCAGGGCCCAGGAGGACCCCAGGTCTGCATGAGGGACCTGGAAGGCTCAGTCCAGCTTGGCGAAGCCCCCAATGGTGACTTTCCTCTCAGGCTTAGTGCCCACTGGTTCCTGGAGCTGTACTGCGCCACCCCCAATGAAGCAAAAGGCAGGGCACACAGGCCCTGAGCAGTCCAGGGGGCACTCCAAGAGCCCACGGAAGGACACAGCATCCAGGAAGGAAACCCGGCCCCGCTCGTAGTCCAGGCAGATGCCCAGGCGAGGCGGCAGGGGCACTGTGCAGCCCGCTGCGGGGCCGTCCCTCCCCGTCAGCCCTGCGTTTGAGCTTGCCCCCGACCCCAGCAGGATCTTCCCCATGCCAATGGTTAGGAAAGCAAAGGGCGGCGACGCCTCCACTGTGGCATCCTCGGCACCGCTGTCGTGCCCGCTGTCCGGGTCGTACCTGCAGAAGCGGGTGTTGGGGATGAGATTGTTGAGGGATGGAGTGACCGATGAGGTACCAGAGGGAGACGCTGGAAGGATGGAATGGAATGTTGAGGAGCAAGAGGTAGAAGGGATGGATTTTGGGTGTTGAGAAGAAAACGCTGAAGAGGCAGGTTGGAGTATAGGGTCAGGGGTTTGGGTTTGGTGGAAAGAGAGCACTGAGAGGAAAGCACATTGGCAAGAGGGGCTGGGGGGACGGGAAAGACATAGCATTGGTATAGCATGTGGAAAGGCGTCGAGAAAAATGGTGTTGGGGAAATCATGCTGGAGAGATGGTTCTGAGGATGAGAGGACGTTGGAAGAATCCGAAATTAGTGACTAAGAAGAGAAAGGATGTTGGGAAGGTGGGTGTCGGGAGAGAGATGAGGGTGGATTGGTGTCACAAATGAACGGTGTTAGAGGGATGCGGGGTTGGGGACAATGGGGTCTAGGAGGGGATTTGTGTTGGGGAGAAAGCATTTTGAAGAAATAAGGTGTTGGGGGACAGAGTGCTGGGGAGAAGGCTTAGGATGAAAAGCGTTAGTGGGAGAGTTTTAAATAGGGAGTTGGGGAGAGGAGGGTTATGGAGGTGAGATGTTTAAGGGAACTTTTTTTTTTTTTTTGGAAGGAGTTTTGCTCTTGTCACGCAGGCTGGATGGAGTGCAATGACACAATCTTGGCTCACCGCAACCTCCACCTCCCGGGTTCAAGTGATTCTCCTGCCTCAGCCTCGCGAGTAGCTGGGGTTACAGGCATGTGCCACCACACTCAGCTAATTTTTTTGTATTTTTAGTAGAGATAGGGTTTCTCCATGTTGGTCAAGCTGGTCTTGAACTCTCGACCTCCAGTGATTTGCCTGCCTTGGCCTCCCAAAGTGCTGGGTTTATAGGTGTGAGCCACTGTGCCCAGCTAAGGGAAGAATTTTAAGATATGGGTGAAGGAGGTCTTGGAGAGCAAAGGTTTTATGGAGAAGGGATGTTGGAAATGGAGTGTTAGGAAGAAAGGATACAGATGCTTGGAGAGATGGTGTATTGGTCCAGAGTGGCAGATGGTTGGAAGGAAGCAGAGATGGCTCCCTCTTCTATCATCCCTTTCCCTGACCACACACCACGCTCTGAAAATCAGTCCTCAAAAGCCCTTTTGCTGAGCCCATGCCTCTCCTGGCCACAGGCCTCCCAGCCTGGCTTCCATGCTCCTACTACTTCCTCCTAATCCCCTCCCATCCCACCCTAGCAAGTCTGTGCTCCGCTTGCCACCCCTTCTGTGCCCCTCACTTCCACCAGGACCCCCATACTCCATCCCTTCCAGAGGGGTCTGACCTGGGGCTGATCACATCGGGGGCACCCTGGAAACTTTCTTGAAGCTTGCTCTCCAGCCCGACGCCCACCTTGACCAAGTAGGAGGCTGGATCTACGGCGCAGGCCCAGTAGCTGCGGCCCTGGGTCACAGCCACGTCGCCCAGGACCACATCCACACTCAGGTGGCAGCCGGTCAGCAGCCGGTCAGCAGCCAGCAGCAGGGGCAGCCCTGGAACACTCCGTACTGCTCGCTGGTCCTTGCTGATGGCCAGCCGCTCTCGGCTTGCACCCCAGCGGCCGTCGAGGAAGAAGTGCAGGACTGGAAGGAGGGAGAGGGTTGAGATGGAGGAACAACTTCAGGGACAAACACTGGCACTGGGGGCTGTGAGACTGCGGAACAGGGAATGCATTGCAAGGGAGTTCAGTCACCAGGAACAGGCACGGGGTTCAAGAGAACAGGACATGGGAAACCAGAAAGGGAGGCATGAGGAAAAAAGAAGGGGGCATTCCAAATGGGCATGGAACCCCAGAGAGTTTCTGTGATGACAGTGGGCACAGAAGCCAGTGCTCTGGACCTGGCTGACTCATGGGGTTTCCTCCAACCCCTTACTTGTGGCCAGCCCCATGGACAGTTCCCACTATTCTGTTCTACCTGGTGACATTCCCATCACCATCAATCTATGCCTTCCAGCCCATAGTCTGGGTTCACACCTGGCCCTTATACCCAGTCCCTACTCGGGTGGCAAGGCTTCCCTCTCATGCCCACACCCTGGAGTTCAAACTATTTTCTAGTCACTTTAGTAACATTCTTGAGCCCTAACCATGATCCAGACACTGTACTCAGACTCCCACGCATCGTCTCACACCAGCTGAATTCTTGTAACCCTATGAGGTAAGCATTATCATTTTTTAAAAATAATTTTTTTTTTGACACGGAGTCTCACACTGTTCCTCAGGCTGGAGTGCAGTGGCACAATCTCAGTTTACTGCAACCTCCGCCTTCCAGCTTCAAGCGATTCTCCTGCCTCAGCCTCCCAAGTAGCTGGGATTACAGGCACCTGCCACCACGCCTAGCTAATTATTTTTATTTTTAGTAGAGACGGGGTTTCACTATGTTGGCCAGGCTGGTCTTGAACGCCTGACTTCGTGATCCACCTGCCTCGGCCTCCCAAAGTGCTTGGATTACAGGCGTAAGGCACCGTGCCCGGCCAAAAATAAATTTTTTTAACGTATTTTATTGATTTATTGATTGAGACAGAGTTTCACTCTTGTTGCCCAGGCTGGAGTGCAATGGCGCGATCTCGGCTCACCACAACCTCCGCCTCCCAGGTTCAAGCGATTCTCCTGCCTCAGCCTCCCAAGTAGCTGGGATCACAGGCATGTGCCACCACACCTGGCTACTTTTATATTTTTAGTAGGTTTCTCCATGTTGGTCAGGTTGGTCTCAAACTCCCAACCTCAGGTGATTCACCTCCCTTGGCCTCCCAAAGTGCCAGGATTACAGGTGTGAGCCACCTCACCTGGCCTTTATTTATTTATTTATTTTTTCCGAGACGGCGGAGTCTTCCTCTGTCGTCCAGGCTGGAGTGCAGTGGCGCAATCTTGGCTCACTGCAACCTCCGCCTCCCGGGTTCAAGCGATTCTCTTGC